GCGTGGTGACTCTGAGAAGGAGCCGACGGATTAGCGTCCTATAACGGCTGTCTAAAGTAAGTCTACCCGAGGAAATCATTAAGTCCAGGTGCAAGTCTAACGATTTGCTAGCAAGCGTCATCCTTTATAGTACATGAAAGGGCCCTGAGAAGTATTAAACGGGACGTCATTTAGCCACGTAATAATTGGCCGTTTGCACTGTGGCGATAATGTTATGCTTGCTTTAGACAGTAAAGACCTTTAGCAATATCACTTTAGGGCTTAGACGTGCAATGGACTAGACATTTCTAGCTCCTGTTGGCGTTATTTGATCTGAACTTTGATTTCACCAAAGACTTAGAAAAAAACTCTGTTGAAGTCTGGATATGGCATTTCCAGCTCGATAAAATTCGATTACACCCGGAACATTGCTATTTGCGTGCAAAACATGGCTACGAATGGAGTGAAGCACATCAGGTCAAGCGCTGATCGTAAGTAGAATTTCCTTGTTTTATCAATTGTAGGCGTTCTCGGACTAGCTAACTATCAGAACTGTCTGTGATTCGCTAGCGCAGAAGAAATTTATTTGCGTGGCTTCCGGTCGATAATTGACGTACTGACAACATGCATAGTATTCGCTTAGTCATGATTATGGCCTAGTTTTTTTTTAAGTTCAATCGATTTTCGATGTAGGAAGCTCTTGCTCAGTCCATTTAGGATGATGCAGGCCTTTAGAAAGCTATAGATCAGCTCTCCGCCGAGGTTTTGATATATGCACGTTTGTATTGATTTAGACTCGAATTTGCTATTGAAACGTGACTGTCTTAGTGATTCAAAGAAAAGACGGCGAATTTAGTCTTCCTGGCCTCAAAAGGCATACAGGAGAGATTTCTTTTTATTTGAGCTGCGATAAGCCTTGTGGAAAGCTAGCTCTAGGACAGAATGGTATCAAGATTATCAGTGACAAGTCGAATTCTGTGGTTATGTTTTTGCGAATACAGAAAGATATATAACCATTGCAATTTGTTTCATCATAATTTTCTAAAATTTTATTTGGCAAAAAAATAAATAATGCACAGGTTTGTATGGCCTGGATATAAAAAGTAACCAGTATTTTTAAATCTACACTTACTGATAAGTTATGGCAGACAATAGAAAACAGACTTCACCTAGCCGTTGGTTCAGTGACTTCTAACAAGATGCACAACATGAACTGCTCTGCTAGGTTGTCCTCTCTAAAAGTGTTGTTGTTCTTTTCATATGTAAAAATTATAAATCAAATAGATTCCTCATAGCCTTTATTTTACTTTGAATTCACGTGGGGGGTTCTCCCGTATATGGGCTTTACAGGTATGTGAGGCCTCAAAGGGAAGGGTTTTCATTCGTTTTATGGTCATAGATAGGGTATCAATTTTAGCCATTTTTGTCATAAATAGGGTCTGGCTTATCCCCTCTTGAAGTTACTTTTTGAGGTCATAAATAAGGAAGGGAAAATCGCATTTTAGTCATCAATAGGATAAGGGTTTTGGGAAGCGGGCCACACACCCCCCAACCCAATTTTTCCGTTAGTATCCCCCGGCACTCCACCTCACTCTCTTCAGTTACCGTAACACCTTTAGACTTCAATCAGTTCGAATACAGGAGAATTGGGGATTTTGGGAGGGCAAGCGCAAGGCAGGAGGGAAGAAAACTTTTACTAACAAAATTGGGTTCACTGATTGTAAACAAATGGTTGTAAAATGGTTTCGTTGCGGATATTTCTACAGGCTTGTGGCTAAATGGTAATCTTTGAAATAAGGATGTGATATACATCATTGCAGATGTAAGCACTACTTAGTACACGAGAACTCTGTTTAAACTTGGACCTGTAAACTTATACACTTCACCACTGACTCGCGAAATAGCAACTCTTATCGGGATGGTTACTAGTACAACACGATGTAAACTATGGCAGAGGGACACACACATATAAGCAGTCACTTAATTAAGTAAGTAAAGTTCAACTGTACTGAAGTTATCTTCAATAGATAACTGCCTGCGTCATAATCTGGTCCAAACAACTGCAACTTCGCCAAAGGCTATCGCTTCCTCTACAAAATGGACAGCTTCACCTACGCAAGGTAATGTTCAACGTTTTATAAGTTTGACATTTGCTTTCCTATTCCGTGCCTGTAGAGCTACCATGCGCATGGAGTAAGTGGCAGAGCCTTCAGCATTGTCATCGATTTTATATATTTTTCTTTGTTGAAGATAGCACTTTGCACAAACATATCTAATGTACATGTCTTCTTTACCCAATTACTTTCGATCAGTTCACGCTCAAGGCTAAATGTACTGAGTGGTTTTCGCTTAACTGGATGTCGAACGTATTCTCATTTGATCTGGTTTTGCATTTCTCCCCTAGGAGATTGGGTTAAGAACTTGCGCTGCTTTCTCATCCAATCAGAAGTAAAACCAAAACCAATCCTAATTCCCTCGTACTGATTGGTTCACTGGATTGTCTGCTTTCTTTGTTATGGACCAAAGTAATGACTTTGGTTGTGGTTTTACGACATTCGATTAAAACCGCTGTTACCTGCTTTAAGCCTACTTACAAAAGCATTCTAAGCAACTTTTGTCATTTATTAGATTTTACCAGAGACCCAGAAGGAGGTAAGCAGGCTCATGACAAAGATAACTGCTCCTCAGTAGTGATAATTGTTACGTCGCTAGTAGCAGTATTATCTGTTGCGTTCCTTATTCTTGGTGCATGTTTCTTATCTTGGCGAAAGAAACAACGAAAAGGTAATTTACTGTCTTATCTATATAACATGTCAGCAGGGTGCTACTGATATCTGTTTTTCGGTTAGTTTTAGAGAAAGTTTGGTATCTATTTTAAGTCTTTGATAGAATCTTAAAAAGTAAGGTATTTTGCTATTAGCTTGTTATATATATTTTTACATATACTAGTTAAGACTTCATAAAGTTTATTCACGCCTTTTGTGGCCATTATCACCCCTGCATGGAGTCTTGATTAAAACTTTTTATATTATTTATCATGTTTACCATTATATTTTCTTTCATTTTAGTTCGAATTTCTTTCTCCTATAGTACTATCTTGTATTATTTCTTCTTTTTCTTTGTTTACTTAACAATTATTCTGCGAGCGAGTGATGGATTTAAAATGTTAGATGGGTAACGAGGCGCGTAGCGCCGAGTTGGCTTTAATAATCTCGTATTCAACAAGCGCGAGTGGAATAATTGTTCTATTAAAAACGCCCCCAAAATATATTTAGACTAAAATAAAAATAAAAATGCCTCAAAAAATCACGCGCACGCTTACCATGTTTGTGGAACATGGTATAACCAATGATGGCTATTTAGCCAATGAAAACTCTCGAATTGCATTATCCAATGATCAAGTTT